GAGATGGGCCTTTGCATTCTCTGAGGTAAGAGCCTCCCTGAAATGCCCAAGCAGTACATTGGCAGGCCTGTCACTGATTCAGCATCCCTTTAAAAAAACATAGCCCAAATGTGTCCCACATGCATTTTTTTTTTCAAAGTCAGACTTGCAAAGGTGCACAGTCCTACAGATCTGAAAATGGGAAGCCTCATGTGGGCAATGTCCTCTGGGGTGCCTGCTTGCAAAGTACAGGAAGTACCAAGCCTGGACATTAACCCAAAGAGGCTCCAGATAGATTTCTTTTTGCTCTTACCTCTTACAGCAGTCAAAAGGCAAACTATCAAGGGAAGGAAAGCTGCAAATGATCTTTGCTTTCTCTCCCCTTCACAATGAGATTTCAGTGTCCTCCCCCATGACTCCCAGAACCCTCACTTTTTCACCCATTCCTGAGATTTTAGGTGATCATGAAGGAGGACTTGTGCTGATACTTGACTTTCACAACTGTCTTTTGGTTATCAGGTGGAATAAAAACAAACAAACAGTCAGAAGTATGGCTTTTTTTGAAAGCATGGATTTATGGAGGGCAGACATGGGCAGTTTGGACTGAGTAATATAGATGTGAAATCTTGATACTTTCCAACCCTTGGCACTACAAAACTACTATTATTAGTAGTAATAGTAGTCTTTGAGGTATAGCATGATGAAAAGGTGACCGTGAATCTGCCTAAAATCATAGACACAAACATTCATAGCTAACGGTTATGTGTTTATACATATTTTCCAAGCTATAACTGGTTATATTCATTTATGGTTGAATGATGCATTATGAAAAAGATGAGCTTCCAGCACTCTACTACAACATAACATGTCTGATATCATTGCATGAAGTAGTTGCTTGTGCCTCACTTTGCAGATATTATGAGCAGTAGGAGTAGTGGCAGCTCCAAGTCTCTTACGAGTTCTTGAGTTTTCCTTCAGTCGGATTCCTTTGCCAGGTACATGGGAGTACATTCACGAATATGCAACTTCAAAGAAGTAAATAATGCAGGTTTAGTATTGTAAGAATGCAGAGGGCATGTGAACGTGAGTAAACTTAATGTCCAGCCCAGAGTTCCTGCTCCCCATCCTCACCCCTACATTTTCCACTCGTGCCCATATCACACCTGGCCAAATTGCTGGAGATTGCTGTGAGAGAGAAGTGTTTGATCTCCCTCTCCCTTTCAGGAGAAGGCTTTTGCAGTCAAAGTCCCTGGTGAATCTCCCATAATGCACCTGACATCTCTTTAATCAGTGATTTTTCTGTCCCATGGTTCCCACTTCAAGGTGCTATTGCAGCGGCTGCTTCTGGCGTTTCATCTCTCAAGCCCCTTTGTGTTCTTCTGCTAGGGCAACTGCACGGCACTTGGGTCCAGCTTCAAAGTATCTGCCACATGGGTTTTGATAGGTAGGGGGTGGCTTTAAACAAAGCCAGTTATCTGCATGAACCCTTAGTCCATTATCTGCATGGCTGAGCTTGACAGCCAGGTACCGACAGCAAATGCCCATCATACCTGGCATACAATGATGCTCCAGCTTATATATGAAGAGAGGAGCTAGCGGTAGCCTATAAGGGATGGTGGAGTGGTCATTTTGAAATGCCTTGCAAAGGGAACACATCAAAAGAAAGAAGTCCAGCCCCAGTCTCTTATTTTATCCTGTTATACCAAATTGCTTCTGACACCTGGTGTTGGATACTTGGCATGGCTGTTTTGAAATTCCTGTGATCACCAGATTGAGGCATGCTTTCTGATTATTGGCTTGCTTCTTGTAAAAATGGCTCCTTCAGCCTAACTGGAAAGGTTTGGCATTCTGTGTTAAATATTTAAAGAGTCAACATGTGATAATTGCAACTTCTCTTCGCCTGCCCCTGCCCCCAGTGCAGTTCCATTAGGGGAGGTCTATCTAACTCTCAGGACTATGCAAAGGAAACTTATCTTTCCTGGCAAGAGTAGCCAGGATGCCCAGCTGGCCAGAGGAGAAGACAAGTTCACTGTTGGTGAGAAGGACAGAGAAGGGACCCTGGCTGTCTACATTAGTATTTCACTGCAGATCCTGGTGGGAAGCCCTAAATATGTTTACAAAACTGTTTCCACAAGCACCCTACCTCCCAAGCCGCCGTGTCCAAGCTTAACAGACTAAGCTTAATGATTTAGCACATCTCATCAAAGGCTTAGTTACTGGATTTAAAAAGAGTTTTAAACCAAAATATATTAGTATTTTGGTCCCACCCAGTTTGCATTGGGCCCACCTACCCCTGGAATGTCTCCTTAAGGACTTTTCCAAAATGGAATTTGGCCTAGTAGGTTCACTATAATTCCTTCCTGCTGCTGTGGGGTAACATGACCATCCATCTGGGAATGACAGGTAGAAGGGGGGGGGGAATGACCACAGAGCTATTAGGATGACTATCTCTAACTAGCTTGGCTGGCATGGGATGCTGGGAACTGAAGTCCACATCTAGAGGGTGCCAGGTTTTGGAAATCTGCTCTATGGTGTGTAATATCATTGCTGAGCATTGTTACAGGCTGCTGAAGCTCTTGAAGCTACTGGCACTTTTCCTGGCTCTCTAGACCTAGCATGTCTCTGTGGCCACATTTTTGTCAGAAATGAGTCATACGGCAGGAGGAGGTCTGGTGGCAATAATGGCAACTGGCAGAATAAGGAACTGGAAGCAAGGGTTCCCCTGCCCTTGAGAAGATGTTTAGGAAAGTCTCAGATTACACCTGCATGGCTGATCTGCAACCACCTCCCTGCCCTGAAAACCAAGAGCCGTAGCCCTAGTTCACTGCAACCTCATCCAGCAAGCTTCACCAAGGTGAGCCTATCGTTGGGCTGCCTGTGTGTAGACCCATGGCTTTGGCAGTCCCATTTCTGGTTCTCCCATACTTGGAGCCTGGTTCTTCATCTGTCTCCTCTGTTCATGTATCCATTTTCAGTTGCCCTTCCTTGCTTCCTCCGCTCCAACCTTCTCTTGTCTGCTGGTTCCCTGCCCTCCCACCCCCCGCCACAACCACTAGCGCCAGGCTGTACTAGTTAGTTACTCAGCTAATGGTTTAATTACAGACTGCCTCCACAGGACCCTTCCATTAACCCAGCAAGGGGGAAGGAAAAATTACACAAAGAGCAGCGATGACATGCTTGCTTCCCAGTCCCCTCTCTCGCCTCCCTTTAAAGCCCTGAGTGCCATTAATGTATGTTCCCCACTAGGGGCTCCAACTCTTGCCCTTTGCAGCTTAAGGCACAGGCCTTTTCGCTGATGAGCTGCAATAAGCTAAGAGCAGCCTGGAAGGGAGGGTGTGTGTTTTGCCAGGCAGGGGCCACAGTATATGACCACAAGTAATTTAGTAGTTCCCCTTGCCAGTTTGCTCCAGTAGTGCTCCAGCTCCTTGCTGCCCTTCCTTTGGGAGGGAAGGAGGGATAAAATGGATGCCTCACTAATGTAAAGTATATATAATGCCTGAGGCAAGACAGGACCAGGGCAGGCCTAAGCAAATGGAGCACTGAATAAACAAAATTGTTTTTCTTGGGCATTAGTTCTGGAAGCAGGCCAAATAGCCAGGACGTAGTGTCCATTTGCATCAGTGCTGCCTGGGCCTGTGACTGCTGTTTCATTGCCATCCGGACCATCCCTCCCAGGCCTGCCTCTGAGGGATTATAAATTTGAGGTATAATAGTTGCTTCTTGCCTTGCCGGCTCTCCTCCCAGAAAAATGAGAGCAGCACCTGCCAGGAAAGATGGAGGGTTGCACTTCCTAGGAGCAGAGGCGGCCTGTGGGTCTCCAGCTGGCGATCTCATTGTAGCTGGGGAGCACACCAGGAGGTTGCTAGGCGACCATCACTTCCTGCCTCATATTGTAGCTAAAGAAACAGGTTTGGGGGTGAACGTGGCTGTAGCTCTGCTTCCCAAAATGACACTTGTGGCACGGGATACTCGTAAACAGTCCAGGTAGTGGGTGGGTGCAGGAAAGATGGAGCCAGTTCTTGAGTAAAAGAAGGCACAGGACTATTGGTTAGTGTGTGCCAAGGTGAATTCTTGTCTGAGGCATCTCTGTAAATAGTCCTGCCCAGAAATCCCCCCTGCTTTCATCTGCCTCACTGTACTGGAAAGAAGTGTGGAACGAAATGCTTTCTGACCAGTTGTGGAGAGAAGTGCTAAGTGTCCTTGTCCTCTTTCCTCTGTCCTTACGGGTGGTGGTGGCAGAATGCAGGAACCACCCTGAATCTCAGCCCAGCATCCATCTCATGATAAAGATGAGCAGAAATCTCTACATGAATCTTTCTGGAAACCTCCCTAATATCCATGTTCAGTTCTCAATTGGTTTCCCTCCCTCCTTTGTTTACTTCCCACCTCTACTTCTCCAGCCTTGCAAAACCTTGCAGGATTCAGGAGGATTGCAAAGAATTTTCTCAGCACATTTCCCAGACCCTTTCCTCAGCTGCTGCCTCTAAAGTGGGTCACGGGTGGTGCGGAGAGCCAAGAGCTTTATGAAAAACATGTCTGGGTTTTTAAAGACACATCTGCCTGAATCTGTAGAGCTTAGTCTGAATATGCAACTCAGACCAGCAAATAGGCCAAACCTCTTTTTACTACTTGGGTGGTGTCAGGACAAGCACACCTTCACATTCAGACATGCTGCAGCTTGGGGAGAAGGGATCCCAAATCCCTAATCTTTTCCTTCAAAGAGTCATATCAGGTGGAGGTGGAGGGACCTGGAAGTAAAGACATAGGCACAATGCCTGGGTGAATAATATGAGTTAAAAAAGCAGAACCTTGGTTTATTGAGATCCATTTTGGTAGCCTACTGGCTTCCATTGTTAGGAAAGCAACCCCAGAGCCCTAATTTTCATGCTTTTGTCTAATATGTGCTATGCATGCCTAGCAGTGAGAGAAAAATGCATCAGTCAATTAGGAAGTTAACAGGAATGTCAGGACTGGCTGGCATAATAGGTCTGTAGCCCTTACTCTCTCATCTCCTATCTCAGCAGGTCTAAGCCGGGCTGGCTTACCCTTTGGTCTAGTTCGGCGGGAACTGGCATGTGAGGGCTACCCTATTGAGCTACGCTGTCCAGGCAGTGATGTCATCATGGTGGAGAACGCCAACTATGGACGCACAGATGACAAGATCTGTGATGCTGACCCCTTCCAGATGGAGAATGTCCAGTGCTACCTTCCAGACGCCTTCAAAATCATGTCCCAAAGGTAAGAGATACTGTAGGATTTCAGTGGGTGAAGAAGATGTTCCCTAGTCACCTCCCTGTCAGATTGCTCCAGGAATCATGGTGTACCTCTAGATCATTCCTGTTTTGTAATACAAAGTTGTGTCCCCTGAGTTCAAGAATGTTTCTTAACTCATTTTGTGGTCCTTTGGGGAAATTAGAGGCAGGACAGCAAAAACTAGCTATCATTTCAGGTTGAGAGCTGGCATGGAGCCTTCCCCAACCTGCTGTCCTTCAGATGTATGGGCCCTCAAATCATGCCCTCTGAAGCCAGCATTGTCATTCAAGCCAGGGATAGTGGGAATTGTAATCCAAAAGGCACCAAGTTTGGAAAGGTTGGTGTAATAGGTAGTGTTAGACAAGAACTGGGGATGCAAGTGTGGTATGAGAGTGTTGGACTGAGAGAACCAGGTTCTAATCCTCACTCAACCATGAAGCTCACTGGATGCCTTTCAGCCAGTCGCTCATTCTCAGCCTAAGCTACCTCAAAGGCTGTTGTTGTGAGGAGTGCAAGAGGACTATGTAGGCCATGCTGTGTTCCTCTCAAAAACGGGGTGGCATACAAATGCAATGTAGTACTTATGATGATGAAGGTTTATTTGCACCAGCCTGCATTTAACCTAATTTTTCTAAGGGTTTTCTGCAACTAGGACTCCAAATGTATTGATGATTATTTCAGCAATGAAAGTAAAAGGAAAGTAATAGCATTAAGTCTTCTCTCAATCCACAAATTTAACAGAGAAATTTGGAAAATGTGGTGGGAGTTGGACTTCTTTTCTGTCTAAACATGTACAGAATTTCATCCTTGAATGTATTTCCCATTGTAATCGGCACCATTCATGTCATAGTCTGGGCTTATCTAGTACCATAAAATTGAAAAGATTAGATCAAGTATTCTCAAACCTTGAGGCCTCCCAAGTCTGGAAAATCTCCCTCTAAGCCTTCCCAAGTGTAACTAAAAGAAAATACTTTGTTGCCATAATTTTGCAGCAGGTATCTTATATGTGCCTTAACATCTGTGTTGTGGGCAAAAATTCAGCAAGTGAAGTTTCTTTCCAGTATGTAAAAGGTAGGGATGGGAACCCCTCCCCAGTCTATAGTATAATATTATGAGTTTTAACATGAAACATACTTGCACTTCAACTAACCCAGAAGTATAGATTTTTGCTGAATAAGAGCTACCCAAGGGTTAGTTGTTGTTTGTAAGGTCAAGTTGAAAGAAGGCAGGTTTGTTTCCCTAGCACACCATTCCACCCATAGGATTTATATGTATCTTTTATTTAGTACACCATGAATTCCTGAGAATTTTATTTCCCTACTGAGCAGTACTGGTTTACCTGAATTTAAAAAAAAACAATACTAGTACTGCCACTAATCAGTTAAAAATAGTTTCATGTATTGTTACCTAATAGGGTATAATAAATAATATTCCTCAAGCACTTAGATGACAATAAGGGTGCATCTAGATCCTGTTTTGCAGGCAAACCACTACCGTGACATCTTTGTGAAGAGGTGCTCACAATTGTCATCAGGCAACATTCTGTGGGCCACATTTGTCATTTACTTTGCCTCCATAGAAACCAAGGATGGCTCAGATCAGGTTGCAAAGTATGCAGCATGGCCTTTAGTATAAAATTGGTCAATTAGTATGGAACTCTGGCAATTTAAGCTTCATTGTGTTTGGTTTGGTTTTAGTTTATACGGTTTTGCATGATCCAAATAAAAACAACCACCTTATTTATGGAGAATTTCTGCTAAATGTACAAAACTGGGTAGTGTTTTTTCCTTGAATGTTCTCCAGTGGTAGTCCTCCATAATTCACCCACACTGATTTCAGTGGGGAGGTAATTACCCCTAACAGTTCCAGGCTGGTATGGATAACAGGTCCTATGCTGGAGTCTCTTGGGGAAGTGGAGAGGATTTGTATCCAGTGGACAGATCTGTCTCTGATCTACCTCCAGAACACCCCATTTCAGACCCTAACACCAGTGGAAACACCACCCCTTCCTAAAGCCCACTTGCAATTATTCCTAGGGTTAGAATTACTTCCTTAGAAGCAAGGGAAATTCAGTATACTGCTTCCATTAGTGAACAATGGACACTTCCTAGCTTTTCTTTTTGTACGCCTACATGCTGGCTGGATCCCAATGTCTTTTTCTCAGTCCCCATCAAATAAACAGGAACCAAAGCTCCAAATTTAGAGTGGTGAGGTTGATAAACTAACTGTATAGCTGAAATTAAATTTTCAAAAATATTACATGTGTTAATATGCTAACATTTCCATCCTGTCTCATTCTATAGACAGCTTACATACACAATAGCTTGGTATCTTAAATGCTTGTTCATACGCACCTATTTTTACCAAAATGTTTTCCAAAGTAATGAAACTGGCCCATAGCTTTGTCATTATTATTTTTAATCACCAAGTAAATTGGATGCATATTCTTATGTTCTTCATTCCTCAGGACAATGATCCAGCTTATATATGGATCTGATCCCTCATGTATAAGTGGATGGTAAAACAAGCTTCATGAGAAGCATGTGCATAAAGTAGCTTCCTGACACTGACCATGTTGACTGAGCTGTAATTCAACATCTGAAAGGTTCAGAGCTGGAAAACACTCATGTAGAGACTAGGCAAGTGTGAAAAGCAGAAGAATACCAAGCTGTGGTATAAACCAGGTTATGGCCTTTGAAGGAGTTTTCAGAATTTGCAATAAACAGACAGGGATGTCTACTAAGACATGATATTCAGTGGCTAGTCCTGATGCCTGTATGCTCCCTCCAATATCAAAGGGAGCAGTATGCTTTTGTACATCAGTTGCTGGGGAACATGGGTGGAAGGTTACTGTTGCAGTCATACATTGCTTTTGGCCTTCCCACAGGCAGCTGCTTGGTCACTGTTTGAACAGAATGCTGGACTAGATAGATGTTGGTCTGATCCAACATGGCTGTTATTATGTTCCCCTACCCCTTCTGCCAAAAGCCTGCTGGGATAATTTCCGAAGCATTACCAAAGCTCATGAAAGCTTTCTACATTTCTCTGGCATTGATTCACACAATGCTTTTTTGAGTTTGTTTTCAAATTGGTTTGTTTTTGTCAGCCTTCTTTGACTTAACAAGTTGTGATTGTTCATATGCATACATTCGCCATTCAGTCAGATCATCAGTGGCAGTGGAACTTTGCACACAAACACTGATGAACAATCTGGGCATGTGGTGATCTAGTCTACAAAACCAGTCAATTAATAGACAGGTTTTTCTCCAGATAGGGGTTTTGTCTGGCTTAATCTAAGCCATCTTTCATTAGGGTTCAGCTCTGGAAAACATGCTTTCAGTGCCAGGGCTCAGCCATGGAGCAAGTAAAGTAATAACAACATGGAAGAGAGTAACTCTGAGCATGTGACCTCTACACATCTGTGCCTGCAGGATAATGATTCCAAGTCAGAAGGTCTGGCTTCCAGGCAGCTTGATTCCCTGGCACCTCTCTCTTTAGAAAGTAGGCACTGGGGTTTTCCCTGGCTTTGTAATTATGTTCTGTGTTGCTTCATCGTTTATCCACATGCTAATCTCCAATTCTGGTGCAGTAACTGAACTGATTTCTGTCCATACATTCAATATTCCTTTATTCTGGCCAACACAGAGAAATTTCTGTCCCTCCTATGCTTAAGGGAAACATTTCCTCTAAGCAGCTGCAGCTTCCTAAACATCCCTCCTCAAGAATTCCAAAACTTGCTACTTGTCAGGCAGCCCCTTGCCTTTCCAGATCAACAGAATTCTTCTGGGATGGTGACTGGCTTTCTTGATTACTACTCATGTTTGTTGGTGATTGGCTGCTCACCAGCTTACTTCCCTTTTTTACTTTTATTAAAAGTCACTGATGAATTTCCTCAGCAGCAGCAGTAACAGAGGGCAAGCAAGCATCCTCAAGAGCATTGAAGATTGCTGGTGGATTATTTTAAAATAATTAGAAATTGCTCTTAGCAGCAAAAATCACTAATTATTAACAATATGAAATGATTAATTAGTTACCAGTACCATTATCAAGGCATTTACATGCTGTTTTGATTTTCATTTTTTTTACCAAGTATTATCCACTAATTATAAAAGTGAAGTTTCTGTTGCTAAGCTTCTCTATCTGTTGCCTGAACTGCAGTCCACAATCTGTTTATCCCAAGGAACAGTCCAATGGGACTTTCCACAGTAAATGGGGGATCACAAGTTGTGCATGCCTGGGCCTCTATCTGCCAGAACTAAGGTTATCCTTAAAGCCTCTTCACCAGGTGCACTTGCAGAAATGAGAGAGGTGGCTACTACAGAGACGGTTTCTTTGGTATTGGTACCCTGGTGATGGAAGGACCTTACAGGGCACCTCCTTTTTGGCACCAAGTGAAGGCCTTTTTATTCTCACAGACTTTTCAGCCCTTCAGTTTTAAAAACTTACTCATCTTCAGATCATTCCAAAGTTGCTAATATTGATCCTGGTTCCTGCTTTAGTTTTACTCTAATTGAAACTTCCATGTTATATTGTATTTTACTATTTTAATGGGTTTAAATTTTCTTTTGTGAAGCACCCAGAGAACTTTGGCTAATGGGTACTACAGAAATGAAATGAATGAATGAATAAGACCCTGCTAACGTTAAATCCAGACTAATGTTCCCTCTAGTCAAGCAACCTCTGTGCCACAGAGGCCAAGCAAATACATCTGGCAAACATACCAGGCTTGTGGGTATCTGGTTAGCCACTGTAGGAAACAGGATGCAGAGCTAGATTGACTGCTGTTCTGATCCAGCAGAGTGCTACTGCCTCTTTTTTCTTTTATTCATGTCAGAGCTTAATTTCAGCCAGGGCTTGCTAGTCTAGTCCAGTAGAACCTGTTATCTCCAAGCCAAATGCTATCCAGCGGCCCTGTGTTGTGGTCTGCAAGGCATTTTAGGTCAACACTGCTGCTTTTGCTCCTGGGGAAACAATGAAAGCTGGAAGTTTATTGAACCTCCCTGTTAGGTTGCTATATGTGTTTGGAGAGCTGGTTTTTTAAACCTGTTTTTAGTGCTTAGTTCTATAACTAAGGAAGTGCTAAGATAATAAGTGTGTATCTTTTACTGTGTTCAGCATGGAGCAACCACAACCAGGCACCATAGAACCAAAATTCAGAAATAATCCAGTTGTTCTGAAATGTCATATGACAAACCTCTCCAACCTGGTGCCCTCCAGAAGTGTCAGGCTATAACCTCATCTTCCAGCCAACTAGCAGGAGATGATGGGAGCTCTAGGCCAACTGTCTGAAGGACACCACATTGGGAAGGCTGTTTAAAGTGTATCTATACCACTTCAAACTATAAATTGGGGGATTGTGTGTTTGAACCTTCCACCTGATTAAAAAATAAATAAATATCTGCATATAGAAAATAAACATATTAGACAAAAGCCTGGACTGAACTATGTTTTCTTGATGTGGCACTGTCCTTCATTTGTTGTGGAGGATCAGACAGATGCATCCCATACATGTATAGTTTGAAATGGTATAGTCCTAGGTATGCTGTTGAAAGTGGTACAGTCCAGATGGACTGACTTTTCAAATAAGGACTTTGTAGGTCAGAGGCAGTGACTTCCAGGCATTTTAAGGCTCAGCACTTTTTATGAACTAGCAATTGCATGGCATATAAGAAAAACCTGAAAGACCTGAGCAATTTTAATATAAAAAAGATTTGGACTAGACAGAAACCATGCATGCACATGGAACAGAATTACTGGCATCATGAAGCTTCCAAGTCAGTATCAAACAATGTAGATTAAACAGTGAGGAAGTGTCAGGCATGGATGTGGCCACTTGAAATCTTCTTGGGACAGTTAGCCATGTCTCTAAGAATTGGCTGTGATATCCACTGTGCAAAGAATTTGAAGGGGAAACTATACCATTGGTGATAGTCATGAAGAAGGACAGCTTTACTTGGAAAACCTAACCTTTGATTTGGTGCAGGTTTAGCAAGATGGTCCTCTATACAACCCAGATTCTTCCAGATGTAACAAACATATCATCTATTCTTTTTTATACTGTTCTTCAAAAGCATCCCCACTCACCAGTTTATCAAATGGCATCTTACTGGTTTGATATTGCTTGCTTCATTCCCCTAATCTTGTCTCAAATCATATCACTAAATGCATTAAGAAAGTGTGATAAAGGCCAGTCACACTGGAATCAGTTGATTCACAAAACATAATGTATGCTTACAAAACAATAAGCATATATTTTATGTACTTTTCCCCAAAGAACTTCATTGTTTATGTGGTTGAGCTATCTTTATTTATTTAGTTCGTTTATTTTATTTATATGCTGCCCAACAGTTGAAGATGTCTTGGCAGTGTATAATTCCTAAACTACAATAAAATAAGATATATAAAATATGAATAAGTGTAAAACATAAAATTCCACTAAAGATTTTTTAAAAACCACATCTTTAAACAACTAAAACACCTCAGGCATGTTTGTACAACTATGGCTGTGAAAAACTTTGGCATAACCCCTGCCCCTCATGTGCATGTTAAATACTTCAGCAGAAAGGGCAATATTGACCTGAGACCACAAGAATAATAGAGCCGGAACCAGGCATTATAATTATAATTCAGGTGTCGCCACAGAGAAGGCTCTCTTGTTGCCACCAGTCAAATCTCCCTTTATTTCTGAGCACTCAGCCTTTATTCAGGTAGTCATAGTATGTATGTGTGAAGATTTCTGTGAGCCAGGATATGAACCCGATTACTTCTTTCCAAAATAGCAGACTTTCATTATGAAAAGCACTATATATTTAGCAGGCAGATTCCTAAGAAAAGTTCAGTGGTGCTGTGAGGAATACACCAGGCAGTTGTTGCACAGATATGGCTTTCAGCCCAAATTTTGGACTGCTTAGTTTGAATCTATGTGAAATTCACACTCCTGTGCTTGTTGGGTTTCCTTGCCTCTCATGTCCCTGTCTGACAGTTTTCCAGTTTGAAGTACTGCCTTCCCCTTTCTCTTCTTTCCTGCCAACAGGATAATCATGTATTTCCTTCCTTCCTTCCAGCACCTATGCACCTTTAAAATTTAAAAATTAATTTAATACTGTGAAACTGAAACAGCAATCTAAAACAATTTCCAGTCCAGTATAATAAAACTACCAGAACCATTAAAATAATTTTTAAAAGAGGTGGCAGCAATATAAAGAACTTAAACCCTTTAATTTAAGGCAAAACAATTTGGTATGTGTGACCCATACGACACTTCATTTCAAACACTTCCAGATGTGCACTAGATCTGCCCATTACAATTATATGTCCCCATTACAATTATATCCCCATCTTTCAGCTACCAGACCTTAGGGCTGTCTTCTCATTTACTTTCAAAGCTCCCTGCTTAATCAACAATTCTGTCTCTTTCCCCCACTTTTTATCATTAGCATGTATGAATTCTGTCATTCATGTTATGCCACTTTGTGACATAGATGGTACCAAACATGGCATATAATAACAATAAATATAACAATTCAAACTATTGTTAAATATACAGATGTTGCAACATAGTAAACTGTATCGGTAAATCTCAATACAGTCATACATATACTGTTCGCCATAGGTCCTGTTTGAAAGCTTTCCTAGCCAAATTAGCTCACCTTTCCCACAAAGCTGTACTGTTTATTAGAACGCAATTACTGAAATGACTCCTCCTGTCTGACCATTAGATTCTGTATGAACAATTCATGAGAACACACAGTATCTTAACTAGTAGCTGGTTTGCTTGAACCTGCAGTCTTATATTTCCTTATGTACAAAATTGCCTTTGGTTAAAGATCACGTCTATAGATTTGGACATCTAGAAGGTTCTTAGGCAGCTTCTGGTGAGGAATGAAATGTGTACCATAATACTGAATCGGGAAAAATGTTCCTTATTTAATCACTACTTTTATTTTTCATCCCTCAATTTGTCACACCATTCTTTCCCTCTTCCTCTTAGGCCTTCACATTCTGACCTATCATGTAAGTGTGTCACTGTGTGTTTTGCTCTTATTCTGTATTACAACCTACAGACTGTGGGACTGGCTCTTTTGAATGCTTTGTTCTAAGAAAGGGGCGCATTGGATGGTTATTGCACACAGCAAGATCTGAGAAAACAACTTGACATTTGATGGGGCTATATGAGCTGGAAGCACCATCACCTCAGCCTTCACCCAGCCCATTTTACTGGCAATTCCAGCATCAGTGAAGCAGGTGGTGGCTGTCCTGCCCCAGGAGGCCTGAGCTGATACCTGCTCCAGTTGCTCTGGCAGCCGACAGCTCCTGGGAGTCCCCCTTTCAACTTCCCTTGCTTGTTGCATCAGCCTTTCAAAGGAGAGCAGGTGGCAGGAGATAACCAAGTGGGAAAAGTGGAGGGTGGGCAGTGCTTCTCAGTCTTCCTGCTGGACCTGAGCAAGGATGAAAATTTAGCAATGGGTTGACTGTCTTCTTGTACTGCTAGTTATGTTCTGGGTCAGTTCTAGGGGAAAATAAAATATGCATCATATAGGGATTCTTAAGTTTACCACTGATTAGGTAGGGGCCAAGTAATATTTCCACCTCCCTCCCTGTAGTACTTTAAAAATGTGGTATATAAGTCCAGAGTTTTCTTACTAAATGGAGCAATGTTGGCCTGGATGTAGTAGCAGGGGAGAGAATGGCAAAAACACATTGACAGTACACATTGACTGCAAAACAGCATTCAGGACTGAAAGGCAGGAAAACTATGATTATACATGGGAATTATAGTTATCTTGGGTACTTGTATCAGGTTGTGTTTTATGTTGTCTTTGGGAAAAGGAATATACGTAGCTTGCTATCACGTGAAAGTCTGTGTACACCTACTTTACACATAAAGCCTGTTAGGTTTACTTCATGTTAAAGTAGCCTCATAATACAGTATCACAACAGTAAAATGCATTAACAGTTTCTAGCTAATAGTCTTCTTTTCATAGAAAAGAAAGCCAGAAATAACAGAGAAGGAGAAATGTCTGGTATCTTGTAAGTCGTCAGGGACTGAAGTTGGTTGATAGGAAGCTGCCTTATACTGAATTAGGCCATTGGTCTGTCTAACCTAGTATTTTCAACACTGCCAGTCAGTGGCTCTCCAGAGTTTTAGGCAGGACTTTTCCAGCTTTACCTGGAGATGCCAGGAATTAAACCTGGGACTTCTATGTAAAGCAAGTGCTCTATCACAAAGCCGTAGCCCCTCCCTTAAAGCAAAGGGCTTCCTGTCAGTATGTATAACAGGGGTGTCTTTTGATAATCCTGGCAGGAGATGTACTAGCTTGCTACCTGCAGCAGCTTCATACCAGAAATTATAATCAGTATCCCAAGCAAAATAGTGGTGCAGCAGTGTTTCAAAGACAGTCTGGAAAACATGTGCAATTCTGGGCATCAATCAGTGCCATCTAGTGGTGTCCCTTAAAACTACATTATGTATTGCCCGCATAATAACCAATTCTGTTTTTTTCTCTTTCAGGTGCAATAATCGGACACAGTGTGTTGTGGTGGCTGGTTCAGATGCTTTCCCAGACCCTTGCCCTGGCACCTACAAGTACCTGGAGGTCCAGTATGACTGTGTCCCCTACAGTGAGTCTATTTCTCATTGTACTCTGATGCTTCTCCTTATTTCTGTTCTTGATCCAAATAAGATCCCCCACCCCTTGACCCAGGGAGGAAAGACTTCTCAGACTGGCCCCCCTAATGCACATCCAGATAGCACTGGCATGCAGCATGGGAACAGGATGTACCTAATAGATCTGGATCCAAGAAACATGCCTTTCTGGAGGGTATGTTGTACTGGAGTTGGGAAATCAAGTGTCTAGAACAGGGATGAAGTAGACCAAAATGTCTGGGCTGTGAGAAGACAATTAAATCTAATGGGTTGAACTTTAGTAACTGGGCAAAAGGATTCCTGGTTTCCATCTGCAGCTCTTTCACTAGCTCACCATGTTTGGGTATCCATTGTCTTAGCTTCTCTACCTTTTCTTTTCATCGAATGGCTTGCATACGTGGGTGTTATGTACTTGACTGGGTAACACACTCTGGTTCTAAATTTGGGGTATAATATTGCTGGGAAAATAGACCTGTTTTGTCCAGGTTTAGGACAGATGTCAAATGCCAGCTCTATTTTTATGTTGTTATATGAGCCCTGAGCAGGGGTGCCCCAGTCGGCAGAAGCCAGACCATCTATGGCCCTCCTCCACTGAAGCATCTGGGAGTGATATGTTCTCAGCTTAGGCCTTTCTCCTAAGAGAAAGATCCGAGGAACAGGAGCGGATTGCAGACCCCTTCATCCTGGCCTTCTCTCACTGTGTGCATGTGAGCCCACACATGCCTATGTATGCAAGGTGTCAGTGCCTGAAATATCTGCTGTTGGTGTGCACGGTACGTGTGTAATAGCTGTGGAGTCACTTACTAGGACAATCATGGTTCTAATAGCATTGGGCTCATCCTTAGTGTGCTTTGTGCATTGTGTGAGTGTCCATGTGGGCAATACACCCAGTGCAGTTGTATATGTGCTTCACATGCTTTGAGTATATATGCATTGCATCCATGCATATATGATCTATATGCCCATATGGTTGACACATTGTATGTGTTTGCACACTCAGGTGTATGGCCGTTTCCGTGTTTGTGTGCAATGCTTGTGTACAGACTCTGAGTGCGTGTACACACTCCTTGCCTTGGAGTGTGCTGGGGATGGTTCTGTATGGCTTTGCATTTTGGTTGCAGTAACCAAATGGGAAGGGGGAGCCTGATTTGAGTGTAGCCATGGCAGCAGTGGGCAGGGGTATTCTCTTTTCCCAGCAGAGAAGCAGGCTGAGAATGACTAAGGGGCATGGCTTCCCCAAAACCATGGCTGTCATCACTTACCGGGGCTAGGGCAGTTGCTCCCCTCGTGCTTTGAATGCTTATTGGCAGATGGATAGCTGTTTGTGTGTATGCACACCTAGGTATATGCATTTTTATGACTGCTGATGGAGTGGGTGAAGTCATGAGCATAGGTATAGCTGTGGCTCTCTGTGTATGTATATGTATGCATGTTTATTGAGTGTGGGCATGTATGTGCTTGCAGCATCCCTTGCAGGTGTTTTCCAGCCCACACCTATCTGCATCCAGATCAAGAGTCTTGAAATGGAGCTTAACAGCTACATTATTCTTTGGGCAGAGGGGAGCATTCTTAGGTAACCTACTCATGAGAAGGCTACTGTGTGCAATCATTTTCTCAAAGGAAAGAAGTTGTGAGTTTAACCAAACACATACTTAGTATGCTGCAAGTGGAGTGCAGAATAGTTTGGTCTTCTGGCTGGTGAGATGATCGCCAGGCACTGTGAGGCATAAGGAGCAGTGGTTATGAGGGTCCCTTGTCTTCTGGAGCCAATCTGTTTCATTCATATTCAAGGAAAAGGCCTCATATGTTTTGCAGTTGCCATTCCCCAACTGGTCTCTTGGTTCATCTGTAAGCAACAGGTCATGCTAGGAGGTCTGAACTATGCTTGCTAGGTGTCTTATTAAAATGTGATCCTTTATTTGTAAAATCACTCCTAATTACAGAACAGCTCCACGGGTCATAACCAAAACCCCTTGTAGCATGGGTCCTGACCATCCTTTATTGTTGACATTTTGATCTGGCAAGCCTAATGAAAGCTACTAAACTGCCAAGTTTGGGGTGTCCCTCCTCCCTGGGTCAGCAGCTCATACACCCTCTTCCTTTCCTACTCTGTGTTGCTTGGGGTATGTGGAGAGGCGTGCTCCTTGTCTTTTGGTGTCTTGTACACTCTCCACTGGGCTAGGGTCCATGTGGGAGGGTCAGTCTTACAGGGTGTGTCCCCTTCCCCTCCCCGCTAATGCCCCTTTGGTTTCTCCTCACAGATGAAGTGAAGCAGAGCCGGGCAGGCATGACCTCTTAACCTCTTAACATTCATTCCTGCCCCTTTTCCTTCCAGCTACCAGGTGGCTTCGAAACAAAACCATCAACGCTCATCTCAGGGTGTAACCAGTCCTGACCCCTCACAGTTAACAGCACTGAGGATATACCAAACCAGCAAAGGGCACTAAATCACCTGGGTAATTGAAGTGTGGGCTGAGGGGTGCGGGGAGAGATAAGGACGATATTGGGGGTATTGCGAGTAAGTATGAAGCCTAATGAGCAGGAAGTATAACTGAACACTGCAGAGTTGCTGACACTGAGATTGTGTCCTCAATAATATATACCATCTGCATATATCCTTTAAAAAGGTGTGCATTTTATGCAAACTTTTACATAATTAATTTTTTCTCTTAGGTGCATTTACATGTTATTCATGTGTCCCATCCCCTGCCCAGCAACACACTTCTTCCTTTGGGCTGTCACAAAAAGCCACCCTGAAAAGTAAGCTATGGTCAGTTGTTTGTTCACCTAATAACCCATGTTACTCCTGACAGATATTCAGGTGCTCTGAAGCTTGTTGTAGCTTCTTTCCCCTTTAGTCTTCCTGCTAGCACCAAACATATATCCTATGGGGCTTTGCAGCACAACCTTAGCAGCATACTCCACTAAAAAGCAGAAGTGTGCTCATTAACAGAGTAGTTTATCTTGAAGTTTTTTTAACCTTCAGGGAAATCTGCACATTTTTAGTGGGGAAATTTCACTTTTGAGTAGATTTTACTTTTTTTTAACTTTGGAGGAAATTTATGCAAATTTGCTGAATGCAGAAACTGCTCTCCATTTTTTTTTAAATTGCATTTGCACAAATTCCCCAAAGGTGGGGGGAAATGTTAAATATACACAAAACTCCCTGAAAGTGAAAAAATAAAAATATCACTGTCTAGGGAGGTGACAAAGAGGTGTCATTTCAAGGCATAACATAGAAGTGATAATGTTAGTAAGATTGCAAGGAGTGACAGAGTTTTCTGTCATACTTGTAAGAAGACTCTGTGACCCTTTTCAATAAGGCATATACATCTTATCATGCTGGGTTCACACATCACAACAACCCACTCTCTGAAAACAAGCCACCCTGAACAAACCAGCAACAATACATGGGTTGGCAGAGTGGTTTGTGTGTAGTTAATAAGCCTCACTGAAGAAACTGTACCAGCTACTCTGAAACGGACAAGGCTGGCAGTCGACATGGGTTGTTACATTATTCTGTTGTGTGAACAAGGTTCCCTCCCCTCTCATTCACACACACACTCACTAGTTTTCCAGAGTCATATGTAGGGATGTGTAAGAAATCAATTTCAGTTTCTTTTGACCAGGTTTTACTTTGTTCACAACTCCCAGACATGGACTGAAATGCAATCTGCAATCCATGTTCAAGCATTGCCAAGCTTGTAATGTTGAGTTGCAGACCTGAGAAAATGCCTTCACCAGGATACATACATTTGACAAATATGCAGAAATACATTTTATTCAATGGGAGAAGGATGCCTCATCTCCTTTGGAAAACTATGCATGAAAATATGTATGAATTTTCATGCAAAAATGAAAAAGCAAATATTGCAGTCTGATATATGAGACATATAAGATGGAATGAGCTTTGAGGTGGAATTTGGAGAATTACAGTGAACACAGGTTGTGCTTATACACACATCCCTAGTCATATGCAAACTTATGTAATAACATGTTTGCATGCTTGACTAAATTTGTATGCATACATATATTTTCCTATATTTGCCCCCCCACACACTTATTTTCATATAAATCAGTCTGTTTATTTAAATATTCTGTACCAATGTGTTCAGTTATTCCTATGCATATACACAGTTATGCATGTAAAACCTCTTCCCAGCCTACATTTTCCTTGCATACTTTCCTTGGCTGTTTTCACCCATGGGTTAATGAATCACACTTTATGAAACTGCAGATGAGCATTGTGGCCATGTGCTCCCCCTGGCCTCTCTTCATTGCCTTCCACACTGCCTTTGACATAAGGATGAGAATTAAGCCAAAGTTCTCTATTACATCCAAGCTGGGAAGTTCTGGGTTAATGTTGGTTAACAAACCATGATTCATATTCACAAAGAGGAGGGAGCATACACTAATAAATTTCATGAAGTATGGCATATGAAGTCATGTCCAAATGCAGCCACTGTATCATCACTTGAAATCTAGGTTTATTCTTGCTATTTTGTTGTAAACACAGCTGAAATAAGGATTTTCTTTCAAGATAAGATAAATAAACCTCTCTGTACTCCTCTCCTTTTGATTTAAAACTGCTGAGGCTACATCCTCTTTCCAACTTATTTTCATAGCTTTCTTCCATAGAAGAAAAAGTATCATGTTCCCTTGATTTTTCTGCATACTAAAAAAATGCCATCTTACTTCTTCTTGCTGGTAAATGTTTAGGAAAAATGTTAGCATAACAAATGTTCTTTTCTTTCCCACAAGCTAACAGAAAACATTAGTTAGTTCCCAAACTAGGAATTATTAGACTGGGCAGGCATTTTAAAAATAAGTCCACCTTGAATTCATATAGACATGTGTCCATTTACTTCAGGTAGGAGAGTTGCTACTACAATATTACTCATCCTGCTTTAAATATTAAATCCTGCTTTAATGTTGAAAACCACTGTGGCAATCATGTGGTTGTATCCAATGTTAGTCCTACTTAGACTCATTGGAATGGATGAGGCTTAAGTTGAAATAACATTAGATAAAACCTATGGCAAGACCCTGGCATGGCCACTGTCGGGGAAAGTATCTTTGTTATTGTTAGAGCTTTCAAATGCAGTGCTTTTTGCTGGATAACCTGCAGAACCTAAATTCATCTCCTGCTCATAGCTCACCTTGCTACTGTTTCTTGCTGGCTGCCCTACCTTGCTTCTTTAAGCAAGAATGGTCCGTGCTGTTCTCATTGGGGTCAGGGCTGGGGCAGGTGATGGGAGTGGAAAGCACAGGAAGCTGGTAACCTAGAGGGAGGGGGTGGATCACAGGGGTGACAGAGGTGGGAGGGGCCAATGTTGTCAGACCCTTTTGCTTCCTTCCTTTACAGCTGCCTCCATTCTAACCTGACACTGATCTTCCTTCCTCAGGGGCCAATCTGACATGTGGAAAAACAAAACAATTCATTTAATGTGTCTGATTTTTGGTTTTGAATTTTTCAAAGTGAATTGTTATTATTGTGTCAATATTTTTCAAAATACAACTTCCCTCTCCCCTACCTTCTTGCCAGCTCCTTTACCCAGCTTTCCCTTCTCTTCTTTCACTCCCAGTTTTCTGCCACCTGCTTTCTTCACTTTTTGTAGGCCAGAGCTGCCTGATTCCCTGCTGCTAAGGGATTTTAAAAATGATTGGCAATGTAACTTGTTGCAATGCCTCCACTCACAAAGGGAAATGGTTGCCTATACAATTATTTAGTAACTGGGTTCTTTCTTAAACATGACGGATTTTCTATGCTTTACACAACTCTTCTAAAAACTAGGCAAAAAACTGGAAGTTGCAGGAAAATCAGCACTTGATAGACCTGGAATTTGGTGCCTAAATGGAAACTCAAGGATCCAAATAGAAATTTTGAAGAAAAGGTTTAGCCAGTCCCTAAGCCTAATTGCGGGCTTAGTAGATCTTTTGTAACGGATCAGACTATATAGAGTACACATATAGGAAAGGCTCATGGTGTCAGCACATCTGCACCGCAGGACTGGAGACAGGCATTTTTAAGGTAAAGGTATGATGCAGTTTTTAAAAGGTAGTCAGAGCAGGTCCTTTATCCATGGTGCGTATGCTCAACTTCCAACTAGTTTTGCAGTCACAAAATAGACATGCATCTCATATGATTAAATGCTGGATTGGACATCAGTCTTGTCCTTCTGCCATACTTTAATAGGGCTGCCTATTTTTAATGGTATGATTGACACATTTATGTTTTCATCATTTGGTCTACTTAAAAACATAACTGAAACTTTTTAAAAGAAGCAACACATTCCTGAGGATTGTGGGAAGGGGATGTCTTGGTGACATTATGGGTATAACCAAATTGCTGTTCACAACTAACTTTGGCAGCAGACTTCCATTTTTTTTCTTGCCATTGTTGTTCAGACTATGACCCAAGAGAAGAAAATAAACATATTGAATATGCATTTGTACTGCAAGCCTATGCATGTTTCTCTAAAGTAAATCCCAAAGTGGGGCTTACTACGTAAAGAGTATGTTTAGGATGATAGCCTTGAAACTGATGCCACCATACTACAAATGTCTCATCCATATTCACCCTAAAAGAGCTGAAAGGGGTTTGAAAGAGTGATAATTTCCTCTGGTGTACATGTATTTCTTTTGTCTGCTTTTGTAGGTTTTTGAAACAACACACAAGCCTGCAAAACCATTTTACCAGAGGCAAAAACTGGAGTCATGTATGCACCGAGAACAGTGATCCCTCTTTCAGATGTTTAGCTGTCCGGGGTTGGAGTAATTATAGTTTAATCTAGCACTTGATTTATTTGTCATGACTTCTCCCAAAGAACTCTGGAAGGTTGTAGTTTTGGAAAGGTGCTGAGCATGCCTTGTTAGAAGCTTCCTTTCATTTTGGAAAATTAGAATTCTGATTACTTATTGCTTAGGCGTCAAAGTGCAATAGGCTTAAAACTTGTTAAAACTTGAACTGTAGAAACGCCCACAGACACTAGGCAGAACTATGGGAAAATGGCTAGCCACAACGCTGCCACAAAGCTCAGAAAGACTGTAGTGAAAGAGATTTCAAAGTAAACACAAAACAGAAAGGCAAGGTTTGCTATCTTGGCGACTATCAGGATATAGAACTAGTGCTGTATTCTTGACACTGGTTAGATGAGGGGTTCCCCTGCTGGGGTGCCCACACCCCCAGCAGGTACAAGAAGGCATTTCAGGGGGTGTGACAAAGAGGAGATTTGCATCCCAATTCACCAAAATTGGTGAATCATGCTGGGTTTTTTTGCCAAAAATTATCCCAACAATAAAATCATTTATTATGATTTTGTTTGCATTTGGATTCAGTTCTTTTTTGTCAGTCAAGAGAAAATCTAGGAATTGCCTGACTCCACAGGCAGACTTACGGATCACAATCATCAAGAAAGTTCCACGTTTTGACAAAATCTAAGCAGGAAGAAAGAAGTAATTGAATTTTATGTTCACAATTGGGATTGATTTTACTGTTTGCAATTTTTTCTAATTGCTCAATTTATATTTGAATTTTATGCACTGAGTTAAAAGCTTTTTTTCACCCACAGTACTGCATGTGGTTCGATTTGTGGTTCAAAGCTTAGAAATTTGACTTCATCTTCAAATGTGATACTGCTTTTATAGGGGGTATGAACATAAATCAAATATTTTCCAGGGATGCAGGGCATAGAAAAGGTTGGGAATCACTGGGCTAGAAACTTGTATTCCAATTTGGGCACCACTTTCAAGGGAAGAAGTGGAAAAGAAGACCATTCAGAGACAATGGAAGTTAATAAAGTATTTAGAAGTATAACCAAGAAGAAGAGAAGGTTAAATGGAGCCTTGTTAACAAAAAATCAGATGTTAAAATTTAAAATTCCATAAAGATATCAAATAACAGTTTCTACTGTAGGACTAAAAGCAATGCTTTTAAAAAGTAGGGCAATAGATTTAGGGATGCTGGGAAATAACCCCACTGGAAACATTTGCTGAAGGAAGAGATGGAATCTTTTTTCCTTGGCTTAGTTACTAAGTGGCTAGATAAACATATATGAAGAATGATGTAACACTCTGGTATTTTGCCTTGGAATAGATGATCTTCAAAGAGCCTTTGGTTTTCTTTATACTATAAATATCACAGCATCATAATTCCATTTCTTCTTCTGCCAATCCATGTGTTGGCAGACTTGGAGATCCTGGTGGCTCTCTATGTATGCCCAGGTAGCTGTGCCCTTGTTTCCCTGGCTTCTTCTGTGGGCTTTTGTGCATATGATCTCTCTTTACTCTGGCTGTTTCCACTTTCAGTCCTCAAACCCCTTTCCCTCCCTGTTTTTTAACTGCACTGGGAGCCAGAGTGGCACATAATGCTGAGACAGTCCTAGCTCTTCTACAACTGCCTTAGGGCCTAACTAGCTTGAGAATTCCCTTGCTGAAAGGGCAAGGCTTTGTTATTGATTCTTTGACTTGCATCAGGCAGCTAGCTGTCTTATATGGACCTTGGTTTCTCTCTCCTCTTCAGAGATGAGATAATCTCATCTCATAAAAATAATCTATTTGTAACCTGCCCAGAAAGCCATTTTTGACTATGGGGTAGGATAAAAAATTGAATAAATAAATAATAAAATCTGCAGAACACTGGCCCAGAATAAGGAAACTGCCTCTTTTGTTCCTTTGTAGGAACTTGTCTACTTCATATATGCATAAACTAATTCTAGTTCTGGAAAGCCACTCATGTCTTTTAACCTGTAAGCATATTTCCATCCAAGCATAGTGATGATGGTTACATTTGTTAATAGGTGCAGAAATACCATTTTTTCATCCATTCTCTTGGCATGGTGGGTCAGGTCAGATTATGCAGATTAGTTTGGGAACAGTTATGAACCTGAAATGCACTATTCTTCAGAGGATGCCAGAGTCTGTCAGAGGCATGTAGCAGTTACTTCCTTTTAAAACAGGACTTTTTTTTCTACCCCACCTGTTTCTTGGGCCCTCATGTTATATAGCCTGACATAAATAATCTGATTTTAAATTAGTCTGAATAACAATCTTTCAGTGCAACCCTGTCCCTATGTACTTAGATATCTCCATGAATCTTTATCTTATAAAAATTCATTTTCATGTATATCCCCTACAGCAGACTTCTCCTTTACATATCTGGGGAGCAGTGAGCCACACAAGCTCATAAACAATGATTACAGGAGGACACTCTGTTAAATCATAGGATGAAATGTCTGGTCTTCCAAGTCACAAAGCTGCTTCTCCATTTACTATTACTTTCTTTGCGCAGTCCAAATTACATGCAACCCAGCACTTAATCTGGTGTCACTTGTATGCTTATTTTTATTAGTTGCATTAGCATTAATCTGTGTTTTAACTGTTCAGAATCTGCATTCTATTTACTGATAAGATTTTACCAAAGTTTCAAGATTACCATCTCCCTCCACACACACACACACACACACACACACACACACACACACACACACTTGTAAAGCTATCTTTGTGACTGGTATGCTTTTAAAAAGTTCCTAGGCTGTGATTTCACTGGGGCAAATCTTTGTTCCCGGTGTAACATTAATTACACAGCAGTGCAAACCACCCCATACAACCTTGACTGCAATAGATGCCAGTTTTATGTTGGCAACACCCATAGAGTCCAAACTGCCAACTGGTATGACAGTTGTAGCAGCATCTGCATAAGGCTTGGGATTATTTCAGCATCAATTGTGCCATGATTTTCTAGCATGGTGCATCATTGTTTCCTTCCTTCTGCTTCCTGCTGTGTACTAATAGTTGCCTCCGTCTCTAACGTCTCTTTTTTACACCTCTGCCTAATTTTATACCTTTGCCTAATTTTACACCTCTGCCTAATTTTGTACCATGACCTGCAAATTACTTGAAAAACACCACTCCAAAGTATTCTGACTCAGACCTTTTCAGACGAATGAACTTCCCCTTCTAAAGAAACTAGAATCAGCAAAGCTTAACTCATGTAATGGTGCTAACAAAAATTACTCACCCCTAAGTCTTTCTATCATTATTGGCCAGTTCTAGCAATTCTGCCAAGACCCATCAAAGCTCAGTCATTGTTCCTGGAAAGCATTCTGGTTCCACCAGTTGGATACCTAACAAGATCTTTAGTAATACCTGATTCTTGAAAGGACCCCTAAGGATCAGGATCCTGAATGTTGCTCCATTGGTTTCATTTTTGGTCTTCTACATTCCTCTGAACATTCCAATAAAATACAGTTTTAGAATATTTCTTCTTTCCTTTGTCCCCTGAGACAACTAATATCTTTCATTTGATGCAAGATAATGCCAGGGAATACCTACTCTAACTTCACCAGGAAGACACTCGTTCTCAAATATAGCTGTAGAATCTAGTGAAAGATACAGCCTATGTGATCCTATTCTCTTGAGTGAGACTACCCATGTTCTGTGTTATCAGCACTGGCTAGAAACTGGTACCCACTAGGAGATCAGAGAATAATTTATTGGAGATCTTAATATTTTATGAGAGTATGCTTCAGTCCAAAGCAGGTACCATTCTCTACAAATTCACTGGCCTCTATGGACCTGTAGAAGAAAAAAATGCTGTTGGGAGTTTATGTATGTAAGGCTCCATAGATAAAATGAGAATATGGTAGAATGAGGGTCCTCAATTAAATGTACCAATATTTCTGTTTTTTGGAGGCTTCTTCCAACCTCCACATACTCTTTTGGCTATGTGCAGATGAGTATTTCAAAGCCATGGAGGCAATATTGCAGATCTATAATTACCCATGGTGTGCATTTCAGTTCTTGTGCCTCACCATGGTCTCTAGTCAAATCTACTATCAGCTATCATAGTGCTTCCAGGTTGTACCCTGAACAGTGTGATTTCATGCATATCTACTCAGAAGTAAGTCCTGCTGAGTTCAGTGTGGCTTACTCTCAGGTAAGTGGGTTTAGGATTGCAGTCTGAAAGTAAGCAAGAAAAAACTAGTTTCTATAATAATTACAAGCCTTGCTAAAGTTGGAGTGTGCACATGTGATTATCATGTCTGACTATTAGCACCCATGATTTTAATAACCACTTTCAGCTATTCATTGATTGGACCACTGTGGAGTCCATTTTAAAATGGAAAAATGGGTGTGTATTTACATATATGTTCATCTAGCCCTTTGAAAAGAAATACAGTTTACCTTAAGGCAATTTACCTTAAACATGAAATTGATTAGAGCAGGGTTTTAGTTAACCAAGAATAGTTGTAATTAAAAATAGGAAAGTTGGCAGAGCAGGGTTCCTGCACACACAGCAAGGGTCTCTCTTCAACTTTCTTCAGGATGCTTCTATATTATTTTCTACATTTTTAAGGTAGTGATATTGGATCAGGGTTAGTAGTCCAATAAAGAGGAAGGCATTCCTTTTGGTCTTGTTGGCACTCCTGCCAGAGTCATAATCCAACTCTGCCACAGCTGAGTGGCACAGCTTATTATTTCTCTTTATTCATAAAATCCTAGGTTCTAGTCCTTGGGAGACTTTTTCTTAAGAGGCTTTGCAAAGCTACTGCCAGTCAATATTGTCAGGATCTTTTGTATAAATTAATATCTGTATACCAACATTGACATCTACAAGTACAAAGTAAAAGAATAGGGGGAAAGACTGGAAAAAGCAATAAGATATATTTATATTACTAATATGCAGATATCTATACTAATATACAGCCTATTGTAAAAATTATGAATTGGAATAGAGGGATAGAAGCATGGATGGATTTACAGGTAGATAAATCAGCTGATTCATAAGGCAGGGAACAAGATAGACAATGCTTTCATACTCAGAATGGGTCAGCCTTTCTTAGAAAATAAAAAGTATTCTGGAATTATTTTCCTATCAAACTCTTGCTCTTTTCCCTTTCTCACTTTTCTGCTTGCGCTCTGTCCCCCCACTTACGCCCTTCTCCCTGCCTCCAGCTTCCACCCAGCAATCCCCTTTTGTGTTTTGTTCCTTTGTCGTCCTTTCTGATGGGCCTTAATTTCTGACTTTTCTTCTGAAGGGCAATGTCGCTGGCACCATTAAATAAAACAAACAAACAAACAAAACCACCCCACAGCATCCAAGCTGTAAACCTCAAACTGATCAGATAATGTAAGAGGGAAAATTGATCAAGTACAACTACCACCACCAAACCCAACACGCTCTCTGCCTTGAAATGATTCCAAAGCGGGAGGGGCTGGTGTTTGTTGGGCTGGTGGGGTGATGGGTGGGGAAATTTAAAGTTAAAGAGAGAAAAAATGGTTTCTTTAGGGTGGGGGGAGAAACAAAAGCAATTTAATCTCTTTTCTCTTTTTTTTCCTTCTTGCACCTTTTTTTTTCAATATATTTTTCTTCTCTCCCTTCCGATGCATAAAGTAGAAGTGGAACAGAAAGGTAAACAACAACATTACCACTGACCCCACCCCTAACCCAGCACCTTGTTTTTTTCTCTGTGGCCATATTTAATGTGACCTTCCTTTACCTTTTCTCCTTGATCCTTCTCCTCCTAACCTCCTACCTTCCCTTCCCTTGGTTTTCCTTCCTCTTCTCTCTTTGGTCTCACTTATTCCAATTGGCATCCCCCTCCCCTCCAGAAAGAAATCTTCCAATAACTAAGCAACACCCAGCAAATAAAGGGCATAAGGCAATCATCTAACAACTGCCCCTCCAAACCTTTCCATTTTTCCTTGCTCACATATGGAGGGGAAGCACCATTAATGTCTGGGCTCTGGCTGTCCTTTCTCTGGTTTTGCATCCTTCAGGGGAAATACACTTTTCCAAATGTTCTCTGCGTCTTTTATCATTCAACTGATTCTCTCTGCTCCTTTCTTCATGTTTCCATGGCAACCAAGTGGGTACCTTGGCCTACCTCAACCACTACTTCTCTCTTTCCTTTTTTTAATTCCAATTCCTGATTTTTTAAGAGATGCTTCAAATTTTCCTGGGATTTGCATATATAATTTTGTCACAATACAGAAGAACAACAGGAGGGTAGGTTTTCATTTTTAAACATTTTTCTTTCAATTGTGGTTTGGGCATTTAAAAATTATTCTTCTAGGACCTCCTGCACATTTTATGATGCCCTTACATATATACTTTGAACTATCTTTTTTTTCATTACAGAACCAATCTTGCTTTAAGAGGTCTACAAGATCCTTGTGGAAATTTGTACCTTGGATCCTATGCACATATGAAAAAAAATTCCACCACAATCAGTGTGGCTTTTTCCTATTCCCCAAACCCCATTTAGGATCAAGGTGTAAGGCACTCAGTTGGTGCTGTACTGAAATAAATTTTTAAGGGTACAATCCTATGCACATTTATACACAAAAAAGTCCTACAATTCTGAGTATTCATCAGCCAGAATGGCTGACTAGGGAATTTTGGGAGTTTTAGGACTTTTTTTTTGTATAGATGTGCTTAGGATTGCAGCCTTAAAAATGCACAAATGACTCACATGGGGTATTCTTTTGAGCCCCTCACCCTATTTAATTTGTGTCATTATTTGTGGAGGAACATTCAGTTGTACATGTAAAGTGGCATCAATTGAAAACCAGGTGACTTTGTCATCTTTCTGAAAATCAAAGTGAATAAAATGTTTGGATTAAACTGTGAATCATTTATTCCATCTATGATACATCTTTCAATGGGAATTTTACCCTGAGTTTATACAGTGTTTTGGAGCAAATTCCCAAGCTAAATTTTCAATGGGGTCATTTCCCCATCCCCAAGTAATGAGCTGAATTGTCTTGAGGAGGCTTTTTTCTTTTTTTCCTTTGCTTTTTGTGTGCTCTACTATCAAAATAATGTGGAAATCAGATACACCAATAAAAATAACCTTTTCTAGAATACATATACTTTAATTATTCCAAGATACTAACCACTTTGATGTGGAAATTTTTAATTTTCTTGCTTACTGTTTCTTTTTCTTCCTTTCCTTTTAAAATTCCTGATCAATCCTGGGTGATTTTATTTGTGGTTATTATTATTATTATTATTATTTTCTTTTTCTGCCTGTTTTTTTCTTTTTTTGGTTTGTTTGTTTGTTTTTAAAGAAAGCTGCAGTCATGATCATTGGCTCTGTCTGTTATTGGGGGAAGATGGGGTGGTGCATGAAAGAAAGGGGTCAGTCAATGTATTTTTAATTTCAAGATCTTGACTAGGTCTGGAGGGTATAAACTACCAGGAGTCACAACTGCAATAAGCATGTCTTAACAAGGGACAAGCTGTCAGGTTAGCTTTAGGAAATCCAGCAAATTAATTAATTTCAAAGTAGTAAAACGCAAAAGCCAGGCTTGATTCCACCCAACCCATGTCTCTCTTATCTCTCTCTTTCTCTCTGTTTAGTTTGTTCTAAAAGCACGGTTAATTTTTTTTTCCTGCATTGGTTTGGAATTTTTTTCCCAAGATTGGGGATGGAGGCATATACTTATACTTTTCTTTTCCACAGGTTTCCATGGTTTTGGATGTGGCTTTTTACTGATTGTTTCCTTCTCTGTTTCTGACATCTTCTCCCCCAACCCCAGAGCACAGTTGCCCCCATCTCGACTTAGAAGGCTGAGTCGACACTGCCCCATCCATGAGGGATCGGAACCAGTTAACGCTTTGTGCTGTCCCCCCCTCGCCAGCGCTTCATTCTTTAATGGTGTGTTTCTCCTCCCCCCGCCAGGAGTCATCCATCCCACCCCTCCAACCCAGATGGGAAGCTGGGCTGAGCCGAACCTGTGAGACTCCACGAAGCTGCTTTATGGCAACATTGCCAGGCAGGTGTTCAAAGCAGGCAGGCAGGGCTAGAAGTTTGAAATCTCCTATCTTCCCTATTCCAAGCTAAAAAGCTATGCCAAAGGCTGCTAGGCCTCACCCTTTCACATACAGGCATGAGAGGGTAGTATACAATTTAAAAAAAACCACTGAGGTATATCTAGTGCAGTGCAAACAATGAGTACACATAAATCCCATATCAGCAGATACCGTTGGCTAGATGCATGCTGCTGCAAACTAGGAAACATGCAAGAATACAAAGTGATGCATATGAAAACCTACACAACCACAATCCACTTTATATCCAAGAGAAGACCGTTGCATATAACCATATATATGTGACTAATTAAACCCATGCATTTGATAACACAAACACATACAATATATAATGACACACTGAGAAGCATCCAATACCACCTACACAGGGATGGACAACCTGGTGCTCTCCAGTTGTTGTAATCCCATCAGCCCCAGCCAATGTGGTCAGTGGTTAAGAGAGTAGTAAGGCAAACATCTGGAAGTCATGAAGCAGGCCACCTCTGAGCTATACACATACAGGCTACAAAAACACACAAGCCTCTTCCTGTGCTTCAGCAGACTGGTGGCTAATACATTTTTAAATAATGTTCATATGCTCCTGTAAGCAGCACAGCTACAGAAATGTATTTCTACCCTTCCATGAGCATGTCCTGTGTGCACATTGCCTAGATACCCTGTTGTAACCCTGTGTGCGGCCTCTAGACACATGGAAGACCTGTATGAGTTAGAGCACACATTCCTGTTTCCAATCTGGGGACTTGTCTTTCTTGCCAGTTCACCATAATCCTTAGTCTGCCCTGACTGTATGCTTTGAAGAAGTCAGGATTGGAGAGCGGTTCCAGAGAGCCTGCCTCTCCTCTTGCTTCTCATTCCAGCCAAATTGCCTGACAGCTTAATTTTGAGAGAAATAAGAAAAAAATAATGTGCGATGCATGGTCCAATATATAGGTGAGTTACATATAGGTCAGGGGCATCGAACCTCTTCCAGAACAAGGAGTTAATTCAGTTTCAGAGAAAAGGGCTGCATACCAGTGCTGGGTGGGACTGATGACAAAAGAGCAGGACTAAAATGCCATATGATCAGTCTATCGTAGCCTAAAGCACTTACTGCCAGGAGCTCACTGGAGGAAAGGCATTTCAACCTTTCTGAATGGGAGAGGGTAAAGTGCAGATGCCTGGGACAATAGCAATAGCTGGGAAGGGGTATGGCCATCTGGGAACCCCAGAGAGCCAGATTGGGCCCCAGATCAGCTGGATTTGGCCTGCAGGCCTGAGGTTCAATGCCCCTGATCTAAGGCTGCTACAACAATGGCTGCCCTCCCTATATTTGCCACCCAAGTGAACTATAGAGAAGCTCGTGAAAATAGGTATAAAAAGTACCACAAAGGGCTTTAGCTTGTGAAAGAATAAGTGAATAAACCATGAGTGGTGGAGCTCACAGGTTCAGGTTGTCTGCTCTGGCTTGATTATTGCTACTTTTTCAGTTCCAAGCTGTTTCTCTGAAGCATGACCATCAATTTCCAGGGAGAATTGGATGGATTTGAGCATGACATAAGATGGGCCCCATGCCATGTGGCTGCTTTGGTTCTCTGGGGGACAGGGAGGGGAGTTCTTCTGACTTGGGGATTCAGACACTGTCCTGTCCCAATAAGAAAAGGAACACAATTCCTTTCTGAAGGGGGGCGGGTGGAGTTCATACTGGCATTATCGCAGAGGAATTTATCAGAAGGCTTATAGTGAGAAATTAGCAAGCCATCTACTTTGACTTACTTGGTCATGGAATGTTGTCTCTTTTCTCATCATTCATGCCTGATTTTGATCTTGGAGGTCCCTTCACAACCATGGGCAAGCTGTTAAATTTCTCACAATTAAACTTCAGCCTTAAATCTTGCTCCAACACAAAGTTCAGCCAGTTTTCCCTGAACAAAGCTGATCTCAGCTTGTTGTAGGATGCAGCCTTTTGAAAGTTGGGAAAACACAGCTCTCACTAACATCAAAGTGCTACATGCATCTAGCTACTCTGAAGTGACACTGGCACAGCCTTAACAACTAAGTCTTGAAACCTGCTTCAGTAGAAAGAAAATATCTGAAATGGCCATCAGTTACACTGAGTGAGTCTTGAGTGGGTTTGATCTTGACTTAGAGAGACTCTCTGTGACAAAGTTTGAAAAGCATGGACAAGACAGAGATAAATAGCTAACACAAGGGACATCATGCAGTGCTACAAAATCCAACTGCTGCACATTAAGCTGTTCTTGTCTGGTGACTCACACTAGAAAACACTACAGGGATCTTGAACAGACCTTGTCATTAACATCCGGACTAGGCAGTTCCCCTTCCCCCTGACACTGTCATTCAAAAGTGAACCCATCCATCATGCTGCATCCCTCTGCACCACAGACCATATTAGATAGCCATGCTGTTTTATGCAGGGAGGCTAGATAGATGATCTCTGCACACCTGGTAAGCTAGGAATGATGTGAAATAATCTCTTTCTGCCTAATTAAAACAAGACAGGCAATTTACTACTGTTTCTCCTTGTCCTGCCATATCCATGCATTCATTACAGAAACTTAAAAGGGCTGGGTGGGAAGTGTCTTGTGTAAAGTCCCATAGTGTACATGAGGCAAAAAAGGTGTGTGCTTTTGACATGTCAGGGTTTGTTCGGGTATACCCTATGGATCTGCAACATGCACCATTACAAGGGTAATGTGTGATGTGCCCCTGAAATAACCTCTGACTCTCAAAACCAGATTTCCTGAGCTTTGCCTTCCTCTTTCAGAGGATAAATAATGTTCACTAGTTGGAAGGTGTCTAGCAGCCAGCACTTCTGGGTTCTAGACCTATCACTGTTCGGTGTGGTGAGTCCCCTCTTTTCCCTTCATATGCCAGTCATCCCCTACCTTCACAACTGAACTTAGAAGCAGAATTTGTCTGCAAATTACTATGGCAGAAGGTTTATTAATCAGAGTTATTTATTATTACTGAGAAGGATGCAGCATGACATCTCCATGGAGACCAAAACACTGTGAATAAGAAGGAACTCATTGGGTTGTTGACTCAGCCCCACTTTCTCCTCCTGGAGTTACCCAGGGACTGTGACCATCTGAAACAGTGGGAACAATCTAACACACACTTAAGTCTATGTAAATCTCACTGATTTTAGTAGGACTTAAATTTGCTTAACTGTGGGATAAGTTGTACCCCAAATAATGAGACCCAAAATTTTCCTGATTTTATGCAAAAGTGCATAAGAATATATTTCTGCCTATTTGCACATCTAGCTATTCTGCCTGGATCTGAGACAGTGGAAAGGAGGTTCTAATAAATACTTTAGGGGAGCCTGACATTGGCAAAAATGCTGTTCTCCTCCTTTATGGCTGGTTCCAGTCTCTGCCTTGGATTTGCTATTGATTTATAGAACCCTTGGCATACCCCAGCTGCTTCCAAGTGTGTTGCAACAAGGTTTACCGCTACTGACTCCAGCCAAGGGACCTGAGCCTAAACTGTGCCCAGTTCTAGTAAACTTCACTAAGCTCCCGCCAAAGCAATATAGCATATTATAGTAACTGTACGTATTTAATAAAGACAGAGCAGAGAATTCACTTCCACACTCACAAAATTTACTCCCAGACATGCTGGGTTCAATGCAAGGTCCAACTAAAACCCTGGTGACACTTCAGTGAGAAATATATATCCACAGCCATGTGGAGAGGGGAAGCCAGCCCCCAGTGGAAACTGGGTAGCTGGGGAACAGGTTTTCCCTTAGATCCTGTACTGTGACGTTAAACTAATTTACTGGCCTCTATAACACTAGGTCTGATTTATAAAGACACCATGCAGCCTGGCCTACAGCTTGGATTTGGTTTGACTTCTCCTGTATCTTCTCTATGGCCTCCCAGTGACACTGCACTGTAATAGACAGATGAATTCTCTGCTATGATTCTGCTCTCCTCACCCCCTCCACTCCCTCCTTCCACCACTAAATGCTTTTTTTTCTCCCAGCCTTGCTCCAGCTAACCAGAGGGAGACACTTTGCAGAATGCCTAGCCTGATTTGTCTTCCTTTCAAACTTTTTCCTCCTGGCTTTTCCCAAGATTCCAGGCTGCCATTTGGGGTGTGGGAGGAAGGGAGGGGTGTCCTTTCCCATCTGCCCAGGTTTCCCTTCCTCCCACTGTCACTTCACTCCTTCACCCCCCACCCCCGCCACCATGTGCACTAGTCTCATGTCCTTTGCTGATCTGAATCAAACCTGGCTAATAAGTTGCTCCAGTGGCACCGAGGAAATGGAAAGCAGAAGCTTTTGGTTATTTCACCCTTCTGCCATGATACTGTTAGCTCTTCTTTCCAGAAGGGCACCAGTTCCTCAGCCAATCTACAGCTCTCTGTCCCCAGGGACTGAAAATAGTTCAGAAGAAAGCGGAAACATCTAATCTTTTATATTCAGTAGGCTTAAGTGGCCAAACACTGGGTCTTAAGGCTTGTTTTTCATACTCCATTGCCTATTCAAAAATGCTTTGACATTAGAAGAGAATATTTAGCAATGGCAACCCCTCATTCTTTTTTCCCAAGAGAAGGCATTTCTTCAGAGCTGTTCTGAAGATAGTGATAGAAGTAGACAAATGCTGCTGGGGGTGCAAGTTGAGGTTAAACAAACTGGAAAAGTAGAAGCTGAGGACTCAAAATTTCACAATATATTCCCAGCTGCATCATTGCTTTTATCTGCATCAGGTTACCTTGCAGGTCTGTCAGAGTTTGAGGTAATATCTCTCTACACCAAGGAAGAGCAATGGCCACTAATATCCATCCCTCTCCCATTCCATGAAAGCAGGAAGTGCTTTCCTGAAACACCTATGTCTAGAGATAAATGAGAAACCCATAAAAGAAATGAGAACAAAAAGAGGTAGAAATAGGGGCTGATTTCTGCATGCTTCATTGCTATTGGTGTTTATGCCAAAACATACTGGGGTTTAAGTGCTGCATGGTGGCTGGCGTAAATTAGCCTTGGCCAATGGAGTTGTTAAAACAGGAAGTCCCTTGGTAAATACAAAAGCTCTTGGATCATCTTGCCAGCTTTAAAGGCATTTCTTGCAGCTCCAAAGGAGCTTCATAGAACAGGCAATCCCAGTTGCTTCAAGGCCCAATGGAACAGAAATTCTGTAGAAATCTAATGGAGCAAACAACAAAACTGTCCCTCCTCCAGAGAGACCCCATAGAATACCCAGCCCTGTTAGCCCTGCACATCAAACAAGCACACACAAATCAATGGATCTCTAGGACAGACAGACTAACTCACTACTCCATACTGAGATCTTCATTTTGAAAAATCTGATTTGGATGTGCTAACTTACATGCCACTAGTTTACATCCCTCAGTAGCTCCATACAGAGGATCCAGTTTAGATCATGTAATGTTAACTACTCTCCCTGATCTTCTAATCCTTTTTGTATTGCCCTCCAGATGATGATATAGAACATGTGGTCAGGAAGGAGAGGCTAGAATTGTCAGCTTAGCTTCACTCCTGTTCAGATTTCTGATTTCCCGATGCTGCCACTCAGATCTTAGCAGGGAAACAATTTGACATCCCCTGCTAAATGCCAGAAAATATAGCAAATGGGTGGATGGTTTGGAACCCCTAGATTCCCATTTGAATTTGATCTAGAGAAGGTGTTTCTTTCCTCTGATACTCCCCTGTCCCCAGTATTTATTTAACTTGTCAGTGAGCCGTCTCTGCTCAATAACAGATAAAAGTCTCATGATTGCAGCTGCTCTCAAAACTCAGCGCGGATTTCACTTCTCCTGCCAACAGCCTTTTACAAATTTATCCTTTCTTCTCTCTTTCTTTCTCTCTCTCTCTCTCTTTCCTTCTTTCTTTCTCTTTTCTCTTGTTCTGTCACATTCTCTCTGGATTTCCCCCCTTTACCCAATCATCCTTTCCTCCCTTACATCCCCTCCCTAGTATTCGTTTGCCCGGGGACACTGCACAAGATCCTGGAACCTACCTCGGCTCATGAATCAGAGCACCAGTCAGGAGCCTGGTGCAAGGATCCTCTTCAAGCTGGAGACCGGATATACGTTATGCCATGGATTCCATACCGGACAGACACATTGACAGAGTATGCATCATGGGAGGACTATGTGGGTGCCCGGCACACCACCACCTATCGCCTGCCCAACCGGGTTGATGGCACCGGCTTTGTGGTGTATGATGGAGCAGTCTTCTACAACAAGGAGCGGACACGCAACATTATCAAGTATGATCTGCGAACACGCATTAAGAGTGGAGAGACCGTTATAAACACAGCCAACTATCATGACACCTCACCCTATCGTTGGGGTGGCAAGACTGACATTGACCTGGCTGTGGATGAAAACGGGCTGTGGGTCATCTATGCCACTGAAAGCAACAATGGACGATTAGTGGTGAGCCAGCTCAATCCTTACACACTCCGTTTTGAGGGAACATGGGAGACTGGCTATGACAAGCGTTCAGCATCCAATGCCTTCATGGTGTGTGGAGTCCTCTATGTGGTACGGACAGTCTATGTGGATGATGATAGTGAGGCAGCCGGTAACCGTGTCGACTATGCTTTCAATACCAACATGAATCGTGAGGAACCCATCTCACTGACCTTTCCCAACCCCTACCAGTTCATCTCTTCTATTGACTACAACCCTCGTGACAACCAGCTTTATGTATGGAACAACTACTTTGTCCTGCGCTACTCACTTGAGTTTGGCCCACCTGACCCTAGCACAGGTAAGACATAATCCTAGCACCCAGTTATGGGGTGGGTAAAAGATATCCCAAGCACCTGGAAATTAGGGGGTGGGGAAGAAACCCTGTTAATTTGCATAGTTGTCCCCTTAATGATTTACTAAACTTTTCTGCAAATAGAAAATTTACTTTTTATGGTATCTGATGCTGCCTTTATAGAATATACATTTAAAATGTATACTCTATGGTAAAGCTCATATATCTACAAGAGAGACATATATTTGTAAGAGGGAGCTGTTGTGGTTAAAATTCTAGATTGGGACTCAGGAAATCCAGACATTAGTCCCCATGAGTCTCAGTGTGTGACTTCGGGCAAGTTAGCAGTCACTGACTCTCACATCCTTCCTCACAGTGTTGTTAGAAGCGTAAAATGGAGAGAAGGAAGACCATGTAAGCTGCCTTGGGTTTTTCTTTGAAGGGGAAAAAGGGCAGGAAATAAATATATTAATCGTAGTGATGATGATAATAGTATATCAGCAATTCCAGAACACATATGGCTCAAGATTGCCACATTTTCACTTGAGCTATTTTTTTAAGGTGCACTACAAGCAGTTGCAAGTTAGTGAACCAATGATTCCCCTAAACTGCTCCTATTCAGTGTAGCATCCTTCACATTCAGGAAACATTCAATGATATAATGACAAGATAGTCTTAAAAACCAAGGCTTCAGTCCCAGAACTGACTTTTGAAAATATCTTTAATTTTGCCACTTTGTCACAATCAAAGTCTTTGAGTTCTAGTTAAACAGTGTGTATCAGAGAATCTACTCAGCTCAATTCAAACTCCCTGCGACCTCAACAGAGTCAGCATGTGCCTGAAATTCTGACAGTTAACATCACGTGGAGTTTAAATTGACAGAGATGGATTGTCTAGTGTGCAGTATTTGGCAGAAGCCTGGAGTCTATGAAAACTAGCTGGACTGAAGGGGAAAAATCTGGTGCTTATTGTGAATAAAGGAAAATCATGATCAGTCATGCCCAGGGGCAGTACCAGATCCAGATTTGTTTAGCACAATGTGCAGCTAATTTGTTTCTCTTGGTTTGTTCATCCACCTCTCCACCCATTGCACAACGGCCACCTGGATGGCATTTGCAGACTGAGACGCAAACTGAGCATTTGTACAGTTAGTACCTCATGCTGTGGCTGAGCGAATGGGATTCAGCCTTAGTGTGAATGCAACTCTGTCAGTTCTCGAAACAGGGTGTACTTGCGTGCACAGACTACTTGTAAGGTTGGAGCAAGGAAGAGTTAAGTCTAGACACCTCTCCTCTCCAGCTGGACTCTATAAAAACTTCAGCAATAGTGGAAGAAAGGCCAGCTACAGCTAGTTCCACCCATCCATTCCCTCCTTGGTCCTGTTGCAGCAGGTATCCAGGTGGATGTTATGGGGTGGATGACTACTTTGGAGAGAATAACAGGAGACCCTGAATCTGACTTTCTCCCGCTTCGGTTGGAGAGTTCACAAACAATAGCCAGTGATGTTCAAGGGTAAGAACCCTCTTTAGGTTAAAGAGAATAAGCAATGAGATCAATTAAATGAATGGGAGCTTGCTCAAAGTGTCAAACAGCCACAATTTGCAGATGGAGAATGTGGCTAATTAAACACACATTTCATTCTGAGCTAGCCTTGTTATTCAGCACAATCATTACTTTGACTGTAAAATTAAGATGAGGATATTGGTGTTTGTATCTTTCTGGAAGGACCTGACAAAGAACAACTGAGGTAGTGTATAGGCTAAGAGATTTGTAATGGAAACTGTTGGGAATCCTCATATTACTGCAAAACCAAAACCAGTACCGTCATGCAAGTTCGCTGTGGCAGCATCAGGTTTGCAAATTGCACAATTTATGCAAATAGGATTCATGACATTCAACATATTTATATATTTATTTATCAGTTTTATACTCTGCCTTTTTCTTACAAAGAACATCAAGCAGCTTTCATCATTCTCCTGCTGCTTTCAATCTTATCCCCACAACAACAACTCTGTGAGGTAGGTCGGGTTGAGAGTCTGTGACTGGCTCAAAGTTACCCAGTTGGCTCCATGGTTGAGCAGAGACTAGAACCCAGATTGCCTGAGTCTCAGTCTCATTCTCTTAACCACTACACCAGACTGGTGGCTTAGAAGGTACCCCTTCCCTTCTGGAACAGGCACTGAACCTCAGTAAGGGGCAGTAGAGAAATGTGATAAATAAATACTGAGCATTTGACAGTCAAATACGGCTATGCTTAGGGTAGTCAGAAGGAAGAATGACTGTGATTCATGAGATACTGTCTTAACAGTGAAAAGTGGGTCAGATTGCTGGGAATAGAGACCATAGAGTAGAAAAGAATAACTTGATTTTTTCTTGTAACCTTTTGTAGATTCTTCCACATTCAGATCTTTAGTAGCCATTGTCTTTACCTTCCAGAGCTTATTTCTGCAACCATGACAACTAAAAGCTACTGTGTCTTACAATAATCTAGGATACTTTAGAATCAGATAGATGTTTTGGAAGGGAATCCTTTGTGATAAGTGTTACCCTGCATTAGGTGAAGGCTATGGTGTTGGATTTTCACTCCAGAATAAGCTCTTTTGCCATGGAAAAGGCAATAGCTCAGTGGCTGAGGTGCAGGGCTTCAGGTTCATTCCTTAGCATCTCCAGTTTAATGGATCTGGGGTAGCAGAACTGGGCAAGTCCCCTGCCTAAGACTGTGGAGGTATACCCCCAGACAGGGTAAGCACTCACAGTTAGATTGGTCCACAGCATAGGAGTGTTGCTTGTGGAGCTCCAGATCAATAGCCAAAGGCTGGAGGTGTGGAGATACTTTGTATACAGGAGGACACCTGTCTCTAATTGCACTTCTACCCACAGGACCAGTCACCTCGACACCTCTCAGCACTACCACAACCATTCGACCTACTACTGTCACCAGCACAATTTCACCTGCTGCAACAACGACCACACGGCAGGCCCCACTCACCACCCATCCCGTAGGTGCCATCAATCAGAAGGGGACAGAGCTGCACCCCGTCACTGCCATTATGCCCAGCACCCGCCGTCCACCAGCAAACAATCAGCATGTCTCTCCAGAGCTCTTTTGTGAGGCCAAGGAGGTGCGGCGAGTCCAGTGGCCAGCTACACAGCAAGGCATGCTGGTTGAAAGGCCATGTCCAAAGGGCACACGAGGTAAAAATGGGCAGCATCAACGGAGGCGACTCAGCCCTTGGACAAAAAGTCTTGTCTTTATGCTAGAGGTGGCTATATCTGAGTCCTACTAGAGGCAGAAATCTCTGTCTAGGAAGCTGGTACTCTGGTAAAATATACTTTCTCCATTAGACAATTGCACGATTAGCAAATAGGGCTGCCATGGTATTACTTGTGACCCAACTTCTGTGTCACTCAGTTAAAGGAAGCTATGCCAACTTGAACTGCTGCGGTATCTTGATTCAATCACACAACTTCTGCAGTGTGAAGTCAGAGCTGTCATAACTGCACAGATGGTGGGTTCAGTGGGATGAGTTGCTCCTTCCTTCCATCCTGTGCTAACAGAGCTCCTTTTGTAACTGCAGCAGCATGGAGCCATTTATTCCAGCTCTTGCGTTATTGCATTATTGGCAGGTTGAGAATGGGTCTGTTTTAGAGGATTATGATAGCTCTGAGGCCCTTAAATTCTTTGTGTTAGGGAATGAATGGAATGCAAGGATGACATCAGGCAACCTGAGACTGATTGATATTGCTTTTCTCTCTCCTTGCCTTCCTCTCCTGTGCACAGGTATTGCATCCTTCCAGTGTCTTGCATCTCTTGGAATCTGGAACCCACGGGGGCCTGATCTCAGCAATTGCACAAGCCCTTGGGTCAACCAGGTGGCACAGAAGGTACTGCTTTCCTCTTTTTGGGGGTTCTTCTTTCAGGAAATGAAGGTTCAATTTGGATGCCAGGAAGTACTTCCTGACAGTTGGGACCCCGAGGGTGTGGAATGGGCTTCCACAGGAGGTGGTTGAAGATCCATCGGTGAGGGAGTTCAAGGATAAGCTGGACATGCACATGGTAGGCATGTCATGAGCAGAGCCAGCTGGAGCTGAGGGCCAGACTAGATGGCCCGGGAGGCCCCTTCTGATTCACTCTGTTTCTATGTTTCTATTATAATGGTCTTTCAGGCAGTACAAAGTCAGAATGGGCATCAGGCCTCATTTTTTCATAGCTCCTTTTACCTAAATGAAGCCAGTCTTTGCTTCTTTCCCATTTCTTGGCAGATCAAGAGTGGAGAGAATGCAGCCAATATTGCCAGTGAACTTGCCCGGCATACTCATGGTGCCATCTATGCTGGAGATGTCAGCTCTTCTGTCAAACTAATGGAGCAGCTCCTGGATATCCTGGATGCCCAACTTCAGGCACTGCGCCCCATCGAGAGAGAGTCAGCTGGCAAGAACTACAACAAGGTCCAGGGTCATTTAATGGTGGCTTAGAAACTACTTCTGACAGACTATGGGAGCCTGACTTCAGAGTGTTCTGTATCTTTATATCCCAGTTTCCCCATCAGTATCTAAGTTTTCCCCATCAGCAAAATAGTACATTTGGGGTAGAAATTTGACAGGCAAAGATTTTGGCACTTAGGTGATGCAGGGCTGGGGAAAATGTCACTTGTTGAATATCTGCATGTTGTGCAGCTGTTACAGACACAAAAGTCTGCCAGGCAAAATCTGGCAGCCAAGAAGTTGGTACATGGAGCAGTAAAGGAAGACTCAAGTCAGGCGTATCAGAATTCACGCATCTCAGGAACAATAGCAGCAGAGGGTCTCTGAGGGTGAAGGATGCTCAGGAATCTGCATTCTGGTTTTTCACATAAGCCTGAGAGCTAGAAATTTGCTTTTTATTTTATTTTTAAATGGAACCTGGGGTTTCATTAATACTTTTTTCTATATTAGAGGCAATATTTGTTTGCTTTGTGATGAAATTATTTAATCACATAGTCCTAGATCCCCTGATTATTAGACTGATAGGAAAATAGTCATGAAGATAAACCCCTTAATGACTACTTCTGAGGAGCATCCACCAGCACTACTGCTCTACAGCCCCGCTGAGTTCAGTGCCCCCGCTCCCTCCAGGAATCCTGTATATGAAAGGAGGATGCACAGCTTTCAGGCATGTGCCCATAATAGCTATGTGTGATTTCAAAAAAAGAATGGAAGGTGCAATCATATGTGCAGTCCTACTGAGCTCACTGGGATTTACTTTCAGGTAATTGTGTATAGGCAAAATTCCTTTTAGAAATTAGTGTTTTAAAAATAAAAAATTACCATTTATAATTTGGATTTTGTGCATGTGTGTGCATGCGTATGCGTGTGCACACGGGCACACACACATACTCACATGCTGTTTCTGACTTGGGAAAATTCATTAAAATAGTAATGATTCAAATAGTCTTGTAGCATAAGAAAATAAGAGGAAAAGAAGTTTTAAAAGTAATAAAATATGGAAATAAAATTTAATTCCAAATGTTTAGTAAGGTAATTTGGATTCACATTTTCATCTAGATATGCCTTTGTTGTATCTCTGCCTATTGAGAACATAAGAAGAGCCATGCTGGCTCAGATCAAGGGTCCATCTAGTCCCGCATGGCTCTTCATCTGTTCACACAGTGGCCAACCAGCTCCCCACAGGAGACCCACAAGCAGGGCATGAGTGTAACATCACCCTCCTGCTCAAGTTTCTCAGCAAGTCGCATACATAGGCACCTTGCCTTTGATGCTGGAGGTGGCATATAATCATCAGCTCTCATGTATCTTCTTGATCTTGATTAGGAACTGATCATTACACGGCAAGAGGAAACTTGCTTAAGGAAGTGGGAAACTTGTGTCCCTCCAAGTGTTTTGGCTTACAACTCCCATGAGTCTTCACGACTGGCTATCCTGACTACTTACTTACTTACACGGATTTATATGCCACAGCAGTAGCTCATATCAGAGGTCCCTGCGTGGCTCACTATGTGTGATGGGAATTGTAAGTCAAATTATAAGGAAGACCACAAGTTGCTCACCCCTCTCGTTAGCATAGTCTCTCAAGGCAGACCCTGCTTCTGGAATTCTGCTCCAATAAGTTTCTGTTTCTTCCCCACAACTGCTGCTCACCCTGGGCATGGACACACTACCCTATAGATGCACAAGAGAGAAAGGACATGCAAGGACTATATCAAGGTGAGTGCAATTTCCAAATCCTAGTTAGTTAGATAATTTCATGTCATTTATATGGCTGAGATCCAGGTAGGAACTACTGACCATGGAGCAAAATGCCCCAGAGTTTGGGGTCTCATGCAGAGCCAAAGACCTTATACTCTTAACTACAGTGTAACTCCTGCATGTTTATATCACCAAAGGAATTGCCCCAGTGGGATTGCCTGAAATTTACCACTGGAGAAGTATTCCCTTTTATTCAGAAATTTATATCCCACCTTTCTAATGCACTCACATCATTCAATGTTGTTTACAACAACCAAAACAACAAACTCAGTAAAACAACAATATAAAAAAACAACCGGTATAAAAACTGGCTCATCAGGTAAAAAGCCCTAAATCTGGTTGCCACATAAAAACTCAATAAGGCAAAACCTGATTTCTGTAACAGGAATGTTTTCATCAGCCAATGGAAAGCAGCAAGGAAGGAGGATAAAATGAAACTTGTGGAGCAAAGACTTTTTTCTTGTCCCAGCCAATAATGCCTCCACCAGAGGTGGGTCACAGAAAAGCACTTCTCCACTGAATTTCCACCAATCTTAGTGGATTACTCTGGATTTACCACTGAGGTATGAGATCCTGGAATGGGAAGCGCAGATGCAACAGCCCCATGATAACACAGTAAAACTGAAACCAATTCTTAAATGCCTCTCTAAAGGAAGGCCCTCACATCAAGTCTCTTGTGTAGGAAGCTGTTTGTCTGTAGTTTCCCCACACAATTGCACTCCATGTAAAAACGGCCAAAGTTGCCACATCAGAAAGGATCCTTAACAACTAGCCTTCACTGTCACGCGGCAATATGGCTGATTTAATATGAAGGCAATTTCAAACCAGCTATTTGCCATGTGAAGCAGGTGATCACTGAATGTCTTTGTGCACTTGGCTCCAAGTCCCAATTTCACAGACCCAGGATGGAGGGCCTCTGGCCTGTGGGAAAAATTTGTCCTGCCAGACCAACCTTACCACTTTGGGAAAGGCAAGGAAAAGTGAAGTTAACTACCAGCTGTGCTACTGCTTCAAAGAGCACAGCTTGGGATAACAGATCAATTGCTTCACTTTCCAACTCACCTTTCCTCTCGGGGGAAGTAGGGTTGGGGTATGAACAAAGCCGCTCAGTCAGGAGCTGATTCTTCAAGTGTTCCCAGTGCCTTGACTTGCTGGCTTCCAAGGGTTACGCATTTGCTCATCTCCTTTCTGGCTGGGCACTGTGTCTGTGTGTGTGCATGCCTGAAGAGGGGACGTGAGCCAGTAATGTGCCCACTCACTTTGGGCAGTGCCAATGCCCATTTGGTATGAACAGTAGCTCAATATCTAGCCTGCATGTAATAAGTAGAGTGGAATAGCTTTGCTACTGAAGAAACAATATTCATACACATTGCCATCTTTTCTTAAATATTATGAGAGGTAATAACTCAGGTGGGGGAACAACTGCAAGAAACAGAAATCCTATTTTATTAGTTTAATATAAGAAAATTACAAAATGACAACATACAGCATCCTAAAGAAAATAATTGTTCATTATCATTGTTATCATTATATTTCTTGTTTTATTGATATAGAAATAATATTTGCTTTTCCACAAAACTATCTATTTGATCTTAATTTTCCCTTATTCTGATATAATTTGATAGCTTTATTGTTTCAGCTATTTTCCTAAAGAGTCACCAAGTGTACATTAAGTTGGTTAGTTCAATTTTAAAAAGCAAAGCAAAGGTTTACACAATGGCAGGCCATTTCTGTGGGGAGGAGAGTGGAGGATTTATGGTCATGTGATGAATACGATAAGGAGAAAAACAATGTAAAACTGTCAGAAGCAGTATGAATATTTAGGCATAGGATGTCTGCTGCTTATCATCATGCATGACAAAGGCAATATTTGTAGGGAGCCACTGTGGTGTGCTGGTTAGCGTTGAATGGGGACCTGGGAGTTCAGGTCCTAATTTCCACTTGGGTATGAAGCTCAGTGGCTGTCTTTGGACCAGTCACTTTGAGTGTAATCTACCTCACAAAGCCCTTCTGAGGATGAAACGGAGCTATGTAAGCTGCCTTGGGTTCCTCATAAGAGGAAAAAAGTTGGGATATAAATAAATACAATATTATAGTAACAATATTCATAGGTGCCCACTGTATGTACACAACAACATTATCCACTGACTATAGGTTGTGGCAGAAGAAACAGAGATTTTCAGCCAGTGGAACTTTCACAGTGGGGCTTTTGGGCACAAGTCTAGGGCCCCACTGTGAATGAACAGGATGGCCCACAAATGCAGCAGGGCTAGTTTACCTTAGTTTGAAATAAATGAGAAGATTACCTATTCCAGGTATTTTTTAGCAGAGTCCTTCTTTGTTGTGTGTTTTAGCTGTTTTAAACTTTCTAATGTTTCTCTGTATTTATGATCTCCCTATTGTATTTTATTGTCTTGTTTTATGGATTGATGTAAACCACCCAGAGAGCTGTGGCTATGAGGTGGTATTGAAATCATAATGATAATAATAACGAAGTAATACACATTGCCATACATAGAACACCCCACACCCATAAGACCATTAAGTATAAATTCTAAAACTGTCTAACTGCACCATTATTTCTAGCTATTGAACATTGGAAAAACACTTTGGCTTGGATCCAAAGTTAACAGTCTGAGAGCAGAAGGGTTCCTTCCACCCACAAAAGCCTTTGATCCAGTAAAGGATCTTGCTGGAGGAATGGACAGAAGGGACGGGAGCAGATTAATGGAGGTCACAGAAGATTGCAGGACTTAGGGGGAATCAGCAGAAGTGGTCTTACCTGTCCTACATCTGCCAACAAGCATGTCCCCAAGGAAGTGTTCATCTCAGGGGATGCTCCCAACCAGCATTAGCAAACATAGGATCCAAGTCTTTTAGAAAGACACCTGATCCCATGCAATCAATGAATAAACGAAATAGCACAGAAGAGTAATAGGGTTGGAAGGGGCCTATAAGGCCATCGAGTGCAATGCCCTTCTCTGCATTCACATGTGGTCACCCACCCGGCTGTGGGCCCTCACCTTTCCAGCTTAACAAAGCTGATTCGACATGCTAGCTCAGTGTATAGTTATGCACAAATCTCCAGAGAGATTATTTGTTGAGGACATTGTGGGAAATTAAAATGGTGGTTAGAACCAGAAGGTCAAAGCATGGGGACAGGAAAAAAAACACAAAGGGGGTCCCCAAGGCAGGCGTCAGTAGTGGAACCCAGCAGGCGCTTGGAGCAATTAACTAAGGATGCGAGTGGTCCTGTTGATAGTAGCTTTGACTTAAAGCACTAAATCTCTTTATCCTGCTAACTTATCTATACGCATGGGTGGTCTTGCACCAGTTGTATTCAATCATTGAAAACAGGCTTAAATTCAACAGGTGGAGAACAAGTTCTGTACTTTCTGAGCCAGGAGGCTTCCTTCTGTAGATGTTACCCTCCAGAAGTTGAGGGTTACAAGAGAAATACGTGGGGTTTGAAAATTCCTTTCATTGGATGCAACTCTTTTAAAAATGCCTGAACACAGTTTTAGCCTCTCTTTGAAGACTGCCAACATTTTATTATTTTATTATTTATTTATCAGATTTATGTCCCACCCTTTTTGTTATAGAACTTGGAGCATCTTACATGGTTCTCCCCCTGCCCTCAGTCTTACCCCTTATCCCCTTAACCCATGCTCTTAACCACTACATTACACTGGCTTTCTTTTGAGAAAGAGGCTTTCAGCAGTCACTAGCATCAGCTGGATATTACTACATAGCAGCT